AATTTACCCTGACGCTAGACCTACCCCCTCCCGCCCCGCCCCCGAACAGAAAATAATGATGGTCATTGTGATGGAATCGTTTCAAATGAGAAACAGACTAATTCGTCCCTCTCCTAACCCACAACTTCAACTGTGCGCACACGGAAGATAAGACAACCATGAAGTCCAATCGAAAACACCCTCTCTCTGACCTTCCACAGAACTTGTAAATGCGCGGTCTGCAAGGCAGGAGGGCGTCACGGCCCCAGACACCTGGACGGGCAAGTCTCCAGCCACCAGACACACGGTCCTGCTAAGAAGTCTGTCACACATGGAACGCTCGACAGGAGCGTGCCTTCAGACAACGACGGGAGAAAAGCATCTTCATTTTTTCTCCCAGAAGGCAGACTTTGCAGCATCGTGTGCCTTCGTAAAAGCAAGCTCAATGTGTCAGCCAGACAGTCACAGGGAGAAGAACAGGAGAAAGAAATGTGATCCTCACGGTCATGGGGCTTGCAGCAAAACCACCCCAGCCCGTAAGGAGCAACGGTCTACCATTGGATCTGGAAGTCCAAGGGCAGGGCGCCCTTCCTCTCACAAACAGGAGCTTGAGGGCAAAGCTGAGGCAGCCACAGTTTCCATAGGGACCTGTTGGGGAGACTTAGCTGTTTGGCATGGCATCAGCTCAGAGGTGTTGAAAGAAAAACCTGTTATTAGGTGTCCTGGACCCAGGGGACCCAGTGGCCATCTGTGGGCTCCGGTGGGAACCAGGATAAAGGACGATTGAGCAGTGAGCCAGGCACAAGCCCTGCTTATGACTCACTTCAATCCTTGGTTGACTTTGGGGCGTTTCCAGAACATTGTCTGCACTGCGATTGGGCAGGGCTCCTAAAAGCCAGACTCTAGTCCAAAAGCAGGTTAAGATGTCGAAAAGAAAATAGTCCCTTCCCCTTCAGCCCTTTGCCCCGTAATTTCCTTTTAACACCCAAGGTCTCACATCTTGATGGAGAAAATAACTGCCAACCCAAGACCTCTTTTTACTCCTCTAAAGCAAAGCAATTGTGAACTTGACATATCAACCAGATAAATCCAACTTAATGGGAACGTTCAGTGGCCAAGGACAAGCTGCCAAGAGCAAAGTATTAGGTTGGCAGAGTTTAAATGACTTAACATCCAATGCCAGCACTAAATCAGGAATTGCTGAGCATTTGGTAGGGAGTTATAAATCAAGGATTATGAAGCAGGAGTTGAAGAAACAGCCTAATCCAACGTGGAAAATGCTTTCGCTCCCAACTTCCCTTTGAAGGCCGGCCTCTCCTGCCAAACTATAAACATCTCACTTCCTGGAGGAAACGCCAGGCCACTTCAACTTGAAATCAAGGACCCGCGGAGTACATTCAAGATCCTCACAAACATCCAGCAAGTACACAAGCTCGGCCAGCCTCTTCTGCTCCCCAAGTGGAGTGCGGAGACCCAACCTCCGACGCACCAGGCGGACCAAATGATTGGGGCGCTTTGGATAGATGCACGCGGTCCTGTTGCCAAGATGGGAGAATTTCACTGAACCGAAAACGAAAAGCCTACAGTTTCCATTGCTTGAGTTTGACTGAATGCAAAAATCCTCCCAAGAAGGATCCGCACCCAAGATGACCTACCGTCAGTTTCGGTTCCATCTCCAAATTCTGGGGTGGCGACTCCACCATAGTGTTTCTTAACAGGGTCACTTTATACAAGAGCTGGTATTCTAAAACTGTGGACTCTCGCACGGCCCGGCCGCCCTAGTGGCAGGAGGGAGGTACTACACAAAGTTGTGAGCCGCCCATGGGCGTTAAGACCGTAAGACCTAGCGCGGCTGAGCCGTCTTGCCTTGCAAGGGACAGAAAATGAAACTTCTGCAGCCTTCCCTTGGCACACACCTTCCCTGCTCAGTCCCATGAACTAAGCCGCGAGCCGCGGCCAACCATAAATTAGCTCTGCCACTATTCTACTCACCCTACAGACTTAAAAAACAACAACAACAACAACAACCACCACCAAGTTGTAACCCGACTTTCACGGCTTCTATCGAGAATACTTTTTATTATACAGGTATCGTATACACAATAATTATCTGGGGGACGTTTACAGACGTGGAGTTCAATTCCAAACCTCCATTCCACCCCCACACACGGTACCGCACACCCATCTTCCGGTTCAGCATGATGGGAATGAGACCCAAAGTTATTGCTTTTGAACAGTTTCAATTAAATAGACTCTTCCGCATCAAGAACAGAGCCCAGACCCTCTTAATTCTTAATACCCTGCGTACCTATGAATAAAGCCTAAATTAGTGTTTTAGATTACCCCATCACCTTTCAAAGTTAATATTAAAATCGAACCCATTTGTCAAAAAGTCTCAGGAAGTGCACCCATATTTACAGACCCCATTAAATTACGCATAAATAACATCTGTACACTCAACGCACAGTTTTCTCAAAATACAGAGCCTCCTATGGGACATGGTGGTGGCGGGCAGCCAAAAAAAAAAAAAACAAAAAACAAACAAAACAAAACTAAAAAAAAAACGCTTCGTGCCTACCCTTTTCAAGTTTACTCAAAACACCAAAATGTGAAATAAATATGCAAATAAAGCTTCAGTACCTTAAAGGAACATGTCATTTCCGAGTCTCCCATTTGAAGAGTTAACTCTCTGAGTTAAAAAAAAAAAAAAAGAAAAAGAAAAAGAAAAAAAGACAGCAAAAGAAAACACAAAATCATCAGCAGGCTTCATTTCTACAAGTTTCGTAAAAACCCAAAGAGCCCCTTGTAAACAAGGGGTTTGTGTGTCAAATACCAGCTATTAATAAGCTGGTTGCTGAGCAGAGAGGATCTTTGCTTCCTACTGTATGCAGGATTTGACATCTCAAGAAGCTAGAAGCCGGATAAATACTTTGTTTAGATAAATCTTTAGTGGACGCCAGAAGCCAACCATTACCTTAACACTGCAAGTTACCGTTGATGTGAATGGCCATCGATCAGATATTTGAAGAGCTACGCGTGTGGGTTTTCTCGTGAGCCCGGGGAACGGATTTAAAAGGTTCTAAAACTTGTAGCACCACTTTCAGAGAAAACAATGGGTCTCAAAAGAATCAAACAATACTTGTCACCTTCCAGTGACTTGTCCAGAGTCAAGGAGACGCACACTTCAGCGCTACAGAAATAACACTAAGGAATCCAGGAGGGCACGTAAACGATCCAGGAATCACTGGAGGCCTTTTTAATGGGAAGGTGGGTAACCAACTGTCCCCAGGCAAGAGGGGTTCCCAGTCTGTCCGGGTCGAGAACGCCTTTGGAGGCCTTTTTCCCTCCAGACTCTTCGGCCCCGTGGCTCACTCCCGTCTTACTTCCGGAGCTTCTCCATTTTCTCCAGGGTTTTGCTGGAATCAGCCGGACTCTGGTCCCCGGGGTTCATATAGGATTTGTCTAGGACTATCAGGGCTTCTTTTATGTAGTTCTGCACGGCAGACACAGCGGCACAGATCGCCTGGCTGCCAAACCCGTGGGTAATCAGGCTGAAATGAGACAGGCAGTTCTGGATGTTCGTCTCCAAGACCGGGGTGGGTCGGTTGTTCCCGTTGGGCGTTCGGTCTTGATTGAGAAGGTCTGTGAACTCTTTACACACTTGCCTGTGAAGACAGCGCATACCTGTGAGCTCAGTCTGGCTCTTGACAGGTAAAGGGGACAGAGCCAAATCGCCCTAAGGAGGACACCCCAGGAGGCAATCAGAACACGTGGCCGCACCAGAGAAACAGACAGACTTTGATACTAACAGTGGAGCTAAATTGTACTTAGCACCTATTTTGTGCCAGGCCCGGAGCTAAACTCCATCAAGCACTATCTTCCTTAATCCTCACTGCAATTAGGAAAGGTAACAGGATTAACCCCCGTCAAAACGCCAAGGTCACCGGGACTACTGAAAGAGGTGGAGTCCGGATTTCCAGCCCAGAGGTATCGGGATAGCCCTTTATTTGGTGCAGCTCGGTACCAGTTTCTTCAAGAACACGGAGAATCACGTTGCCCCGAAACTCGCCCTTTGCACACCCTGGTTCACCGTTGCCCCATTTCCTGACTGTACGATTTCTGCTTCATTTACCGTCATTTCATGGATTCATTTTTATGTTTATTCATTTTTGAAAGACAGAGAGAGAGGTTTACATATACATAGGTGGGGGAGACAGGGGGAAAGTAATAATAATCCAGGCTCAGGCTCTGAGCTATCAGCACAGAGCCCCACGCGGGGCTCGAACACACAGACCGCAAGATCATGACCTGAGCCGAAGTCGGACGCTCAACAGACTGAGCCACCCAGGGGCCCCTTTTACCGTCATTTTAAAATCCATTCACTGTCGGCTTTCTAGGAGAAACCTTGCAGCTGCATGAAGCAGGGTTTGAGACAAAGTTTGTCCACACATCTCCTACAAATCCAACTGGATCGTGACATGTAAAAACAGAAGGGGTGCTCTGGGTGGCTCAGTCGGTTAAGCGTCCGACTTCGGCTCAGGTCATGATTTCATGCCTGATCTGTGTCAGTTTAAAAGGACAGCTCAGAGCCTGAAGCCTGCCTCGGATTCTTGTGTAAGGTCTCTCTGCCCCTTCACTCAGCTCCCTCTCTGTCTCAAAAAATAAATAAACGTTAAAAAAAATTTTTTTTTTTTTTAATTTTTTTTTTTTTCAACGTTTATTTATTTTTGGGACAGAGAGACAGAGCGTGAACAGGGGAGGGGCAGAGAGAGAGAGGGAGACACAGAATCGAACAGGCTCCAGGTTCGGTCAGCCCAGAGCCCGACGCTGGTTTCAACCACGGGATCATGTAGATCGCGGATTCCGCTGGAAGTCGGACGCCAAACCGACCATCATGCCACCCAGGCGCCCCAAAAAAAAAAAATTTTTTTTTAAGCATAAAAAAATCTCATCAGGAGGCAGAAGGCACCCAATCTTTACTGGATGTGACAAAACAAATTGTTTTCAACACATTTTTGTAAGATATGGAGACACCATAATGAACAGGTAGTGTAACTACTTTGAGCTGAATAACTGAGCAGCTCCAAACAGCCACTACTAATCAACACATTCATTTTATTTATTCTTCCAAATCCTCCCGAAGAGTTAACCCATCTGACGTGTCCAAGAAAGCCCTCTTGTCAGTTCCTTTCGCTCCAGACCCTTCCTTAAGCGCGGGTTCCTTTCCCAAGCCCCGGGGACTACACTGGCCCCCCAAGTTCAACATGAGGGCATCCAGCCATCACTTTCAAGTCTGGATACTCACTGTGCCGCCAGAAGCATGCTCTTCCTCGCGGCCATCTCGTTCCGCCCTCCAAGATGAGGTCTGGTTAGATACTCCGCCACTGGTTTACTGGGGAATTCGGCTTCACAGACATAGGCAAAGTCCCGAGCCAAATGCACAGCCTCCCCTAGAATAATCAGCAATGGCAACAGACTTAGGAGGTCTCCCTTTCCTCTTCTGCTAACCCAGACGGCCCGGCCCCCCAGTCACTCTGCGTTTTAAAATGAAATTACACACCAGGAAAACAATCCGGCGAGCAAATAGAACTCCCTGGGTTCACTCCCCTAGGAACTGAGGAGGAAATCCTACCATGTGTGGGGGGAAAAAAAGACCCTGAATTTTTTCACTGCCCTCCAACAGTGCTAACCAGTCTTCGACGCAACTCAGATTCTTGACACACCCATGCTTTCTCTGGATTATAAAAGCTCTCATTGTGGACACAAGGGAAATGCTAAAGACAAGCATCTCTGACAAAAGCCGATGGGGCACTTCTCTTTATGAAACTGGGATGAAGTCTTTGACGTAGAACCTTCTTTTTAACTTAGGGTGCCCCATTCCTGAAGGAGGCAAGTCTCTAGAATGTTTAAGAAAAGAAAGGCATGCGTTTCCATTGGAAATGTTTAGGGCCCCAACTACCGACTTGGACTACTCACCCCCTTTTGTCCCAATCATGGGACGAACATGGGACGAAGAGAGGGAGAGGCAAAACCAAGGGGGCTCATCTCTGACCAGAGATGCCAGGTCCTGGCTGCCCCGTGGGCGGCTGGCAAGAGCTTTGCAGAAACCCAGATAGTGGCACCCCTCCCACCCCCACCCCCAGGCTTCCACCTGCCTCCCCAGACTTACTAAATCAGAATCTGAGAACCATTGTTCTAGCACACACTTTCTCATTCAAGCACCCCCGCCCGGCTGGTCAGAAAACCTAGCGGAGCCCCATTTAGGCGCCACGCACGCAGAACCCACCATTCTCCATGCAGGACAGCTGTTCTCCAACAGGCAGCTAGCAGGCAGCTCCTTTCTCCTGGCCCTGACCCCCAAAGACACCCGTAAAAAGGTAGAGCGGGGCTCTGCCAAGTCGCTTTCGGCACCGCAGTCCCGCCATGAGACCAGGGACAGACAGTGTTCAAAAGATTGCTTGGCTGCCGGGAGACCACCCCTCATTGGCTCCCCCTGCCCTTAGCCGGAGCCCAGCGCCCTGCTGATTGGGCAAGGGCTGGAGGCTGCTCCAGGCTTCGGGAGAAGCTTCCCCACGTTCCACTGGGCAACAATGAGCTGGTTTTTCTAAAAAATATATATATTTCACTTTTCCCTTGCCTCCTCCCCTTTATTTTTTAAAGGCTGTAATTGCATTCTTGGCTCCCTTCCAGATTGGGGGTAGGGGCCCATTCAAGAAATGAAAATGTTACATCCTACTATTTCAGGTCGGGGGAGAGGGGCCCCACTAATTTTTTTTTTCCCATGGGGGAAATGAACAAAGGACTTGTGAATTGCGTATGCAAAGGCTTCTCTCTTCACCGACCACAATCCTGATATTCCCCAGCTACCAAAGCTAGAAACTGGGCTTCTTCCCACCAATACATAACCAACCAGCTTTTGAAAGGTGTACCCGTTGATCGACTGCATCTTTCAAAAACTGGTTCACTTCTAGGAAATGTCCCAACACCCTACGGTGTGAATTCTTCGGTCTGGGAAACCCATTTCTATTTAATAATGATTTGCTGGAGAACCCAGAACAGGATGGCTAAGCAGGCAGGTATTTAAATGTTAACTTCTTTGATAAAAATTACTGTGATTCATTGCAATGAACTCGGGACAAATCACTTTCATCTCTCAACTGGTGACAGGGCTGTTTTTAAGCTATTCTTCAGAGTAGCATTAAAGACACAAACAACCTAGCAACATATTAAAACATCACCAAACAAAAGCAAAACCCCACTGACCTTCTACCAAGGACGTCAGGAGGGTAACGTGGGCAGCTTTCCGTCTCCCGGCGGGAAGATTCAACCCAATCTTGTCCAACTTCTCCCGCAAGGACCGGCCTCCATTTTTAGATTTGGCTCTGAGTCAAAAGAAAAGTGAACTGTGGCTCTTCTCTAGAAATCACACTTTCGTATTCTCCATCCTTCAAATGCTACCAAAACTGAAATCTGTCCAAGAGTATCTACATTATGTGGGTCGCAATCAAGTGAAACAGGGAGTCCCTCATTTAATTAATGCCTGTAAAATTCAAACATCTTTCTTAACAGCAACATTCTTTCCCCCCCCAGTCACAGAACATTGCAAAGGATGCTGGAGCAGATAAATGTTCACTTCTAAAAACTGTGGCAGCCCCCCCCAAGTCCCCTGGGGTAGCAAACCCCATGGAGCTCCTCTCCCCCTAATAGGGACGCCACCATCTCATAAAGGAATCAAATTCTAACCAAATGATAATTTGCTGGCGTGTTTTAGCACTTCCTTCTGCATCTGGCACTTTCTAAAAGAGAAGGAATGTACTAAAACTCTGAGCCGATTAGAATTCAGTGTTAGGTATGAAAGTTACATAAATGTTAAAAATACCTCCTTGGTTCTTTTGGGTTGTACACCAACCCAACCACCGTGCCCAGAATGTGCCCCCATGTACCTTCTGAGAACACCTCCCAGTAACGAGGCGTTTAAGCACTCAGGCGGGGACAATCGCCTCTGGACCTCAGCAACTGTCACTTTGTATTTAGACGTGGAGCTGAGGAGGGACAGTCTTCCAGGGACCGAGCAGAAGACCTCGCTGGGATTCATCACAGCCCCTACCAGCTCCTTCTGACAAGGGAGACTCAGCGGATTCTTGGTCATTGAAATGGGACCTGTGAACGAAGATTAGACGTGGCAGTCCCCGAGAGCTGCGTTTACGAGAAAGGGACCTTTTCAAACCTCTAACCCGAGCTGAAAGAGCTCTTTAAGCAAACAGCGTTGTGTGTTGGGCTACATAAACTGCAAGCAGATTTTTTTTTAAGTCCAATTCTTCAAAGATAATCGAATCTGAAATTCACAAGTTAACACCTTGCAAAGCTAATTAGTCATGACCCCAAGCGTGGAGGGTTTTCATTTTCTAGCCACTGTTAAAATGTGTTTAATTAGAACACTGGTTTTCAGAAGACTGCTTCAATCCTACATACATGGGGATTTTTTCCTTCCTCTGTCTAAGAACCACCAAAATCACCAGGCACGCGCGGATCCTTTGCTGAAACCTTTCGGTGCAGCTGATCACGGTAAATTTAAAAATACAAACAAACCTGCCCTGTTACAAGTTTCCTGGGAAATTCGGTTTATTTTGTGAGCTGTTCTTCAAAAACCATTTCCCAATTGATTTCAAGGAGTTTAACTTCAAGTAGCAGACCACAACTCCCTTTCATTTAGGGCCACTCCATCTTCAAAACAGCCAAACCGGCAATCCCTCAGTCTGTAACTTAATTTCTTGAGACACTCCCCCCTCCCCCCATCCAATTTTCCAAATCCCCTCCCCCACTATCTTGCATAAACCCAGACTCCCGGCAGATCGTCCCACTCCGGTCCTTTGAAGGCTGTCTATCTGGTAGGCCAAACTGTTTCAGAACCTCTTCTTGCGGGTCAGAATTGGGGATCCTTGCCACTTGCATTTATGAAACGGGAAATTCAATCATCCACTCAACAACTGCCACGGCACCAACCACCCAACCAAGGTGTGTGGTCTGATTTTTTTCCAAATTAAGTCAGTGTTAAAACTCACTCTGGAAGACTAACACTGTAAAAACACCATGAAATTCAAGGGGCCCTAGTCTCCAAGAGAACACTATCGAGCAACAAATCCTAAGAGTTTTACCAACAGCCCCTTTCATTTAGCTCCAAAAGCGATGCCTTCTTCTTTCTCCTAAAAGCCTATGTTCCTCCAGCCAACCCCCGCCCCCTCCTCCATCGGCCCCTTCCCTATCACAACTGTCCCAAGGTGGCCACCAAATGCCCCCAACCTTGCCAGGCTAGGTGCGGCCCAGGGAGGAAAAAAGTTTGCTCTCGCTGCCTACCTTTGCGAATAACAGTCTGATCATGCAGGAGCAGGTGCTGGTCCTCGACATTCTGGGGGAGAAACGACAAAGTTTCCCTTAAGTTCCGGGGAGGCCGGGCAGGGGGGAGGAGAGGCTGGGGGGCAAACAGGTCCGGGCAGGAGGGGCAAGAGCCGAGGCGCCGCTCACCTGCACCTCCTCCATCTGGTGCGCCATGTCGTGGAGCCCCAGGTTCTCGGCCAGGCCCGCGGCGTCCAGGGCGTGCGCGTGGGGCAACAGCAGGTCGGAGCGACGGTAGGCATCCCTGCGGGCGCTCATGGCGCCACCCTCGAGCCCGGAGAGATGGGGTAGCAGGCCGGCCGGGCGCCCGTGGTGCGAGGGCAGGCCAGCCCCCTCCTGGCTCTGGCGACCCGGCCAGGCCTGCTGCTGGCTGCCGGTGGGCGCCGGCTGGTGCAGGGGGTTGATGGCAGCGGCGTAAGCTTCTCCCAGATGCGAGTAGGGGTCGGCCGACTGCGAGTAAGCCAACTGCTGGTAGGGCGGTGGAAAGTAGGGTGGTGGCTGGTACTCGGCGACTCCGGTATGAGAGAGGGGCGGCGCGGGGCTGTAGAGGTGCTGCCCCGCGGAGGAGAGGTGGGGGAGGCGCGGGTTCCCATTGCTGCTCGCGTCGTGGCGATCCTGGGTGAGAGAAGCAGAGACCCCGCTAGTACGAAACCCCGCTACTGCGAAGTGGCTGCAGCCGCTGCGCTGAGCCGTGCGTCCCCAGGGACCCGACTCGTGGGGCCTGCCCTCCGCCCAGAGAGCACCCAGAGGCGCCATGCGCCGGAGGATTCGTTGCGAACTGCCAGCCCGCGGAGGAAAGAGGCTTCGAAAGACCTGGGGGAACTCGCTCTCAAAGCCCGGCGGCGAAGGCCTGGGAGGTCGGACGCCCGGGGCGCTCTGAAGGGCCGGATCCGAACCCCACGTCTTGGGCCAGGAGTAGCTGAGGCCCGGGCCCGGGGAGGAAGTCGGCATGCTGTAGGCACCGTGAGGACTGCGCTCACTCACTAGCCCGCACATGTCAGCGGCGCCAGACGAAAAGAACGTGGGGAAGCTGCAGACGCGGATAAAGCGCACGAAGCGGGAAGTGCGCATCTTCCCCGCCCCAGGGACCCTCCCTTCCACGCCCTCAGGACAAAGACCTCCGGGCAAGTGACGCTCCCCGGCAGGCCGGCCACCCAAGGCCGCCCGAGGAACTCGGGGAGGAACGCCTCGCGGCCAGGGCTGCTCCCCACCCCACTCCGCCCCAGCTAGCTGGGTCCAGACCGAGCGGGGAGCACCCAGTGGGGCCGCCCTGCCGGGCCACGGTCAGGATCCGCACAAACCGGGGCAGAGGGGGAGAACTAAGGACCCCGAATATTGGGCAACCTCGCCTGCGCACGTCCCTCGCCTCAAGGCTGTCCGACCTAATTCTTCAAGGACTCGTCTCCCTGGGTTCGCGGGGTCACAGGGGTGGCGGGGAACTAGGAGAAACGGGCGCTGTCGCCCCCTAGCGGAAGTGCCCGGGCCAGCCAACAGGGGCAGCCCCAGGAGGTCCCGCGGGCGCGCGGCCCCCCGCCCCCGTCGCCCCCCAGCCCGGGCTCCCCTCTGGCAGCGCCCGGGCACACACCTCCCGCCGCCCGCGTCTTCCTCTTCCCGCTCGCCGCCTGCCTCCCTCCCACTCTCCGAAACTCTAGCTCAACCTGTCGGACTGGCTGGAGCA